TGTTCAACTTAATTCCTTAAAGTACTCTGAAGTGCTAAAATAAATCTGGCAAAGATTTTAGGGTTGGATATATGTGCTGACACGTTGGTGGGAGATGAAATGCTTAAGGGAATTTCTGGGGGCCAGAAGAAGAGGCTCACAACAGGTGCATGTCATATTTGTGTGTCTTAGTAAATAATAATGCTATATGTTTCTGTAGATGCTAACGGGGTATAAATATGATTTTCAGCTGAACTATTAGTTGGCCCAGCTAGGGTCCTTTTCATGGATGAAATATCTAATGGGCTTGATAGTTCGACCACCCATCATATAATCAAGTATCTTAGTCATTCTACCCGTGCACTTGATGGGACTACTGTTATATCTCTGCTTCAACCTGCTCCCGAGACTTATGCATTGTTTGATGACATTATACTTCTATGTGAGGGCCAGATTGTCTACCAGGGGCCCCGTGATGCTGTTCTCGATTTCTTTTCGTTTATGGGGTTCAGTTGTCCTGAAAGGAAGAATGTGGCAGACTTCTTGCAAGAAGTAAGTTGTAGGGAATTTGGAATCTGAAATTTATATTCTACCATTCATCAGTGTTTCTGAGATCCTTTATACACAGGTTACATCAAAGAAGGACCAAGAACAGTACTGGTCTGCTCCTTTCCGTCCTTATCGCTACATACCTCCAGGAAAATTTGCTGAAGCTTTTCGTTCATATCATACTGGGAAGAATTTGTTTGGGGAATTGCATATCCCATTTGATAGACGTTATAATCATCCAGCTGCTTTGTCAACTTCTCACTATGGTGTGACAAAGAGAGAACTTCTCAAGGCCAATTATCAGTGGCAAAGACTGCTAATGAAGCGGAACTCTTTTATTTATGTTTTTAGATTTATTCAGGTATAGCATTTTTTTGGTGGTCTAGAGTTTAACATTTTGGTCAGTAAAGCAGCTATCGTTAATCTCATGATTTGGAACTGTGTCATCTGGAAAAGAGAAATACTTTGAGATTTTAATTCTATTTTTGGAATGCCATGTACTTTTTGCAGCTTCTTTTGGTTGCCTTGATCACCATGACAGTTTTTATGAGGACAACAATGCACCACAATACAATTGATGATGGAAATTTGTATCTTGGAGCACTATACTTTTCTATGGTCATTATTCTCTTCAATGGCTTTACTGAGGTTTCAATGTTGGTTGCCAAACTGCCAGTGCTTTACAAGCATAGGGATTTATGCTTCTACCCTAGCTGGGCTTATACGCTTCCTTCATGGGCCTTAAGTGTCCCAACTTCTCTCATGGAGTCTGCTCTCTGGGTGGCAGTTACATACTATGCAATTGGATATGATCCTGAGGTTACTCGGTAAATATAATTCTTAATTGAATTTGATGAGACTTCTGGTGGTTTTATCAGGATTTTCACTTTCTTTATTCTGCAGATTTTTTCGGCAATTCTTGTTGTTTTTCTCTCTGCATCAGTTGTCTATTGGCCTCTTTCGTGTTATTGGTTCTCTAGGCCGAAATATGATAGTTGCCAACACTTTTGGATCCTTTGCAATGTTAGTAGTTATGGCTCTTGGAGGATTCATCATTTCAAGAGGTTAATATATGTTTGCAACTTTTGCTTAATTGCTTTTTTTTGTTGCTTATTATCATCTTCTATCACCTGGTTTATTTTGGCAGATCGTATACCCAGTTGGTGGATTTGGGGTTACTGGATTTCTCCATTGATGTATGCTCAAAATGCAGCTTCTGTGAATGAGTTTCTTGGTCATTCTTGGGATAAGGTGATATGACCTGCTATTATCTCTCTTATATACTCCTTTCATCATAGTGGGTCTGAAGTTATTCTGGGTCTATCATGGTGAGTTATGGAAATAGAAAGGAAGTATGTTGAGAAGAGCTGCAATGATTCTTAAATGATATTTGAGGATATATTGAATGTCTCCATAGCAATGATGGATATTTTGTTTGTTTAATTGCATCAGCTACTTGGTTAATATGACAATGAATTATTTCTAGCTGTCACACTCACAATATGATTAGATGAAAGGTAGATTCAGATAATGCTGATAAGAAACAACATCAGATGAGGAAAGAAGAACATCCGTGGTAATCACAGAAAGATGCTTATTGGAATTAGAGTTGGACAGTATCCAAACTTTCTAGTCTTACAGACGATTTAGCCCATGCTAATATTCTAGGGTGTGTTGTATAATCACTGTTGCAATGTCTCTAAAGTCTTGTGTCCTTTTAATTTTACGAGTACGGCATTGTACTACAGATCCAATGCATCCAGGTTCCCTTCGTAAAAATATAATTGTCTTTCCAGTTTTAGATCTCTGTCGTAGAAGTGGGGATGTTTTTCTTCTGTGTACAAGATGTTTACGTGGGGACTTATGTTCATGGAAACAGAGCTCTTGCCTCTAGGTTTTGCGTGTTTTAATTGCAAATTGCAAATCCCAATAATGAAGAAAATGTCTAAATAATTTATATGAAGTGATTATTATGCCAGGCTAAAGTGGCAGTTTGGTCTTTCCCTCTTATTTGTTTGTGTAGAGATTTGCGACCAATATTGATGTATCTCTGGGTGAGAAGCTATTAAGAGAACGTGATTTTCCTGAGAGCTACTGGTATTGGATTGGCATTGGTGCTTTACTTGGATACACAGTTCTGTTCAATATCCTGTTTGCATTCTTCCTGGCTTTTCTTAATCGTAAGCTCCTTTTTTCTCCAAGAAGGTCTTCTAACATTAACTTCCAAGCTTAGTGTAAAAGAGCCTAATTTTGTGCATGCCGCAATCTTTTTAAAAGCTTTGGGAAAGCTGCAAGCTGTTGTCTCCAAGGAAGAGCTTCAGGAGAGAGACAAAAGAAGGAAAGGTGAAAATGTTGTCATTGAACTGAGAGAGTACTTGCAGTATTCAGGCTCTGCTAATGGTTTGTAAAATAGATTTCTGGGTATTGTTTTATTGTTAGTTTACATGCAGAACAGTCTCTTGATTTCTGTTGTGTTTTCCTTTGCTTAGGTAAATATCTTACGCAAAGAGGCATGGTTCTGCCTTTTCAACCACTTTCAATGTCTTTCAGCAATATCAATTACTTTGTAGATGTCCCCTTGGTACGCATACAGCTCCATTACTTTCTGCTAATGATTTCTGAAATATTTTAACTCTCTTCTTCTCATCCAAGTTTAACTTCAGGAATTGAAACAACAAGGAGTAACAGAAGATAGATTACAGTTGTTGGTTAATGTTACTGGAGCATTTAGACCTGGTGTGCTTACAGCATTGGTTGGAGTCAGTGGTGCTGGGAAAACTACCCTAATGGATGTTTTAGCTGGTAGAAAAACTGGTGGGGTAATAGAAGGGAGCATGCATATATCTGGTTATCCCAAAAAACAGGAAACTTTTGCAAGAATTTCAGGCTACTGTGAGCAGAATGACATTCATTCCCCATGCTTAACTGTTCTGGAGTCACTTCTCTTCTCTGCCTGGCTCCGGTTACCTTCAGATGTCAACTTGGAGACACAAAGGGTAAATAATGCAACCTTTTTTGCATCTCTGCATGTCTTGGGCATCGGTTGATTTCCCAAATGTTGAAATTTCAGGCATTTGTTGAGGAGGTTATGGAACTTGTAGAGCTGACTCCACTAAGTGGAGCATTGGTTGGCCTACCTGGAATAGATGGTTTGTCAACAGAACAACGAAAAAGGTTGACCATTGCTGTTGAATTGGTTGCCAATCCTTCTATAGTGTTCATGGATGAGCCCACATCAGGCTTGGATGCAAGAGCTGCAGCCATTGTGATGAGAACTGTGAGAAATATTGTTAATACTGGGCGAACAATTGTCTGCACAATTCATCAGCCTAGCATAGACATTTTTGAATCCTTTGATGAGGTATTATCTTCTTATGGTTTTGTAGACAGTGATAATAATTTCTCATTTCTGACCTTAGATATGATTAACAAAAATCAGAAACTCTTCTCACTAGTTAATATCTTCCTTCTACATTCCTGTAGCTGTTGTAGCTTGCATATTATTCTAGATGATATGCTGCTCTTCAGTTACTGAGGTAGTTCTATTACAGTATCAATACATAGTCTGAATCCATTTCAACTTTCTAATAATCCTGAGTTCCTTCTTATTTCTATATTTTTTTCTTTGCAGCTTTTGCTTATGAAGCGTGGTGGAGAGCTTATATATGCTGGTCCACTTGGCCTGAATTCCTGTGAGCTTATAAAGTACTTTGAGGTTGATGCATGTTCCTATCCTACCACTTGAAATATTTGAGCTACTCTGTTAAGGTTTTTTCTTTTCAGTTGAGTCAGTAGCTGGGCCTTCATATTTATGAATAAGTAGTGGTATTTACACCATTAATAGCTCAATATTTCAGGAGATATGACTACCTCTATATTGACTCTTTTCATAACTTACATGTAAGATATTTATTGTCTCGATGAAACTTCTGCAGGTGTGAATCTTCCATGAGACGTTCTAATAGCTTCAGTTCTGGTGCTCATCCTTACTGTGTCATTTTTGTCTTCTGTAGGCAGTTGAAGGAGTGCAAAAGATCAGTCCTGGGTATAATCCTGCTGCATGGATTCTTGAGGTTACTTGTTCAGCTGAAGAGCACCGTCTGGGTGTTGATTTTGCTGAAGTTTACCGAAATTCAGATCTATTTCAGTTTGTTGATTTTCCTTGTGAATTTTCTGCTGTTGATTTTTATTTTACATGAAAGTATTTTTGTTATTTAACTAACCATTGGTTTCTTTTGTTTCAGACGTAATAGAGAGTTGGTTGAAAATCTTAGCAAGCCTAATAGCAGTTCCAAGGAACTGGAGTTTCCAACTAAATATGCTCAGCCATTCTTCAACCAGTTCTTAGCCTGTCTGTGGAAGCAGAATCTGTCATACTGGCGGAACCCACAATACACAGCAGTTCGCTTCTTCTACACTGTTGTTATCTCACTGATGCTTGGTACAATATGTTGGGGATTTGGTTCAAAAAGGTTTTCTGCTCCTCCTGTCAGAATCTTTAGGTTTCTTGGTAGCTTTGATACTCTGGTTCCATATCCTCGAGATGCTACTTCTTTTAGAAGTCCATATTAGCATCATATTTTTTACCCTGGATTTCTTTGTTTGGTTTCAAATTGCTTGATATATCATGTTTCTAGATTAAATTAATTTATATCACTTGGTGTTTTCAATGATCGGTAGACAGCCATTTCAATCCCCATGAGAAAATTTGGTCAATGGATTTATCTTGATTCTAAAAATATGTTCTCACTTGCTAATGCTTTTTTGCAAATGAGTTGTTTTAGATTACTATCTATCCTCAGAAACAGAGAACAATTACTGAGCATTAAATAGGATGCACTGATTATCATTGACATCAGCCAAGTTTAGAGAGTCAAAGCCAAAGGTGTTGGAAGCAAGAAAACCAACAAGAATTAAGTATTTATGGAGAAAATAGGGACTCTAATAACACTGCTAATATATTTTTTGAAATAATACTTTCATCATAAATATTTACTTATAAATCTGAGTTTAAAGTCTTTGAAGTGTCTTTCACTCTACAGTTTACGCATGCTGAGTTTTACCTTGGTCTAGATGCTTGTTTGTACCATCTGTGGTCATGGTTAGGTCTTTTTGTGTCAGGGAAATGCAGCAAGACCTTTTCAATGCCATGGGTTCCATGTATGCAGCAATCTTGTTTATTGGGATAACTAATGGTACTGCTGTCCAACCTGTTGTTTCTATAGAAAGATCTGTTTCATATAGAGAGAGAGCTGCAGGGTTGTATTCCGCGCTTCCATTTGCATTTGCTCAGGTCAAGCTCACCCCTCATTCCGTTCCCCTGGATGTCTTTGTGTATATATATCCTTTGAGTCTAACAAGTTCCTGATTTATATGATGCAGGTTTTTATCGAGTTTCCTTATGTGTTTGCACAATCACTTATTTACAGCACAATCTTTTACTCTATGGCTTCCTTCGAGTGGACTGCTTCAAAATTCATTTTTTACATATTCTTCATGTACTTTACAATGCTATACTTTACCTTCTATGGAATGATGACCACTGCTGTGACCCCGAATCATCAAGTTGCCGCTATCATCGCCGCTCCATTTTACATGCTTTGGAACCTTTTCAGTGGTTTTATGATCTCTCACAAGGTAATGAATATAATAAAACAATTCTTCATAGTCAACGCATCTTATAACTTGATTGGCTTTAATCATTTTAATTTTTAAGAAAAGATGATCCTGAAACCACTATCCCTCAGATCACTGCATTATATAACTTGTCACATTCTTCAGAGAATACCCATATGGTGGAGATGGTACTACTGGGCAAATCCCATAGCCTGGACTCTATACGGCCTCTTGACTTCACAGTATGGTAATGATGATAGACTTGTGACGCTATCGGATGGAATTACCCGTGTACCAACAAGGCAGTTGCTGAAAGATGTTCTTGGATATAGACATGATTTCTTGGGTATAGCTGGTATTATGGTCTTCGGCTTTTGCATTTTTTTCGCTCTGATATTTGCTTTTGCAATAAAAGCCTTCGTCTTCCAGAAGAGATGACAAGCTGGTTGGAGTTAGACGGAGTCAAAAGTAACCTTCATTTGGGTAATTGTCTGCATGGCAAGTAAATATGTTGCCTATTGAGTGGTAAAACCAAGGTGAATTCTTTTAAGGTACGTATATGGCGTATTCTAGGATTTTCTACTAGTTTTTGTCATTGAGAGGATGCAGGAATCTCTCATTGTAAGTATAACGCAAATTATATTTGGCAATTCAGCAAGGGGGAAAACTACAAAACTAAATAAACGGCATATAGATACATGTTATACAATACTGCAACTTCTTCGGGGAATGATTGTGCGGGAAGTTTATAATTTGATTACTGATTGTAATTCTTATACATGGAGATTTTTCATAATTTCGAATGTGGAGTCATTTATATTTGAATTAGTAATGAAATAAAATTTAGGATTTTATTTATTTGATTTACTGAGTTTGGTCTTAAAAAGTATACAGAGCTAACGGAGGCAACATATCTCTACAGCTTACAATCTCCTCTTACCATCAACAACTTTCTTTTAACACTTTAGGCACAAAGTTAATGACCGTTTTCCAGTTCTTGATCAAATTGTCATGTTCTTGATGGATTTGAAGCTCTTCATACGGATGTATGACCGCATGATTCAGGCTTTTAGTCTATCTGGTAAAATTTGCACCAACGATTTGAAAGTTGTGTGAATTCATTGTTAACCATATCAGTGGTTGGTACGGGAGTTCATGGTGACATACGTTGAGCTGTTTTGGGATTATTTAGGTCCATTCACTATATCTTTAATTTTATAAATACGTGTGTACAGTTATATTTTATTTTAAGAAAAATTACTCGAATTTATGCTATATTACAAAAATATTGTGGCATTTAAAATTATGCAAAAAGATGATTGACCCAAATTGACTGGTAAGCATATCAACTCCGTTAAATTCTTTATAGATTACCCAATTCCTTGTCCATTTATTCGTCAATGGCTGAAAAACAGGTAAAACTTTTAGATTTTCCCTTCCCCTTGCATGACCATATATGGCCAGTATCCATTTCCATTTCCTGCAACTCATATGCTTCCCAAACCCCCCATATTTCTGGACAACACGATCATCTTTCTCTCTCTCTCATTGAATATTATTATATTGTTACAATGCAATAGAAAAAATTTTTTGAATCTACAACAAAATTAAATATTCTATTTTGAGCAACCTAAGATTAGGAATAGTTTGAAATTGGATAAATCTGGAAGCCCAAAATCTGAGAGACATCAAGGAACTAAAATACTAAATCTTTATCTGGTATTGACTTAGTTGACTTTATTTTGTTGCTTCAAGACACAGAGAGTCCTGAGAGATGACAAATGAAAGAGGAGAGAGAGAATGTGATTGACAATCATTTAGTGGACGTTTGAGCTGTTAGTTTTTAAAATACTGTTAAAATAATTCAGTAAAATTATTTTTAATTAGATATTGTTTAATATTTGGTGTAAATAATTGTAAAAAATGCTGTCACTTCAAAAAGAATTTTTTTTTTCTGTTTAATAAAAATAATTTTTAAGAATTTAAATGTAAAATTAAAAATTATTGTTTATCAAGTGGATCAGATTTGTAGTTTTTCAAAATTAAAAAAATATGATATTCAATTCTAATGTCTTGACAAAAAGAAAAATAAATCACAGCAATTTAGAAAGAGAGAGGAATTTGGGGGGGAAAACCCAATAAAGTTCAAATAATGCCGTCCATCCCCCCAACTTTTTGTGCAGAACAAGTATTTAATTGCTCCAGCAAAATGTATAAAAAAATGCATGAGCTTTGGCCTGCCAAACATATTTAACAGATCAATCTCCTTTAGGGTAAGAAACTTGACGGGAGTTTTTTCAAAAAGAAAAAGAAGAAACTCTCTTTATTGATCAGGTTATCGTCTGATTTGATACTGAAACTTTCTTGCTAAATATATACCTGAACTTGAACTTACCATATTCATGGCCTAAACCTTTATTTGCTAAAGAAAGGAAACAAATTACAAATTTAATTCCTAAACTTTCCTCCATTCTTTATTTAGTTTTAAATATGTTTTTTATGAAATAATCTCCTCAAGTTTTAATTCTTTTTCCTTAAAACACAACCATTGTTAATTTTAAACAGAAAAACCTAAAAAGCTTTTGAGTCTTCTCTCCTTCCATCTTCTCTCTCATCTTTCTTTGAAAAAAGATATGGTTAGTACGGGTTTGGGACATGTATATCCATTCCTGTACCACCATGAACTCGAATACATACAGATTCAGGCTTGCAGACAAGAAGCTCTCGCTGTTTCCAAAGAGTAATGATCAATCTTTCGTTTCCCAAGTTTCCCACTAATCGTACCTCTGCTGCCTCCAAGCTTCAGTCCCTTATCACCCATCCGTCGTTGCAACTTCGGAAATCTTCCAAAAATAACCTAACATTGATGGATTCCAGTTGGTAAGCCTTTTGGTATCTGCCGGAAGGATTGTTGCTTCGAAAAGCAACCTTACCTTGTATGGTGGCTACGATTTTTCTTTTCTTTTATACAGAGAAAGAAAAGAGAGAAGAAGGGAAGAGACAAGAAATGGGAGGAAAAAACTTGGGGTTTTTCTTTCATCCAGAGGGAAAGATGAGGGAGAAGGAGGAAAGAGAGAACCAAACAAGAGTAAAATTTTTTTGGGTTTTCTCCGATCTTAATGTTTTTGAAAAGATTTGAGAAGTTGGTGGATTATTTTTGTGATTAAAAAGTATTTAGAGCAAAAATAAAAATAACCAAAATTTAAGCTGAAAATTTATTAATATTTAATAGCAAAAATTTTAAGCTTATAGAATATTCACAATGGGCAATTTTGTTGGTAAAGAAATATATAATTTAATTTGAGTGATATTTGAATATTAAAATATTAAACATATAATTATATTTATGACGTCACTATGAAAATATTTTTATATGAAAATTTATCGTAAAAAATTAATATGAAAATACAGTTGCAAAATTAAATTAAAATGTTTGGATGGTGGAAATGGAAAAATTTCTGAATTGGACCAGCTTTAAAAGGAACCGGCCCCTTTGGATTCCCAATT